TTTTTAAGCACTTCTTTCTTATTCATGTAGCCATAGTGTCCTTATTGTTCCTCAGACATACCAAGCATATAAACAGTATCTAAAAGCCCAGAATCTTCCATGAGAAGTTTGTGCTTTCACATGTTTCAACTACTTTTTAAAAAAACTTATTTTATTTAACTTTATTCATTTTATTTACTTATTTATCTTGTTTTAATTTGACCAGAGAGGGACAGAGTCAGAGAGAGAGAGGGAAAGTGAGAAAGCAAGCCGCCAGGTTTAGGACTCGAACCACAGTCAGCCACGTGGGAGTCCAGCACCCCTAACCTCTGTGCCACCTGCCGGTCCCACATGTTTCAACTACTTTGATAGTAGTGTTAGGTTTCATTCTATAGATCTAGGCATTGAGGAAAAAAAAAAACTGTTTCTTTTGTTTACTCATATGGACCACATGGAGGAGAAGAATTCAGTTCTGCTTAATTAGTTTTATTAATACATAAAATTTAACTGCTTGGGAATGGAGTGGCCAACGGCCTGCGGAGCAGCATGTCTAAGTTTTATTGTGACCCCTGTGATACACACCTCAGCCACGATTCTCCGTCCATGAGAAAGCACACTGCAGTGGTAGGAAACACAAAGAATGTGAAAGACTACTATCAGAAATGGATGGAAGAGCAGGCTCAAATCCTTTTTGACAAAACAACCACTGCCTTTCAACAAGGGAAGATACCTCCTACTCAATTCTCCACTCCTCCTCCTGTAGGGGTCATGATCCCATCTCCCCCTAGTCTCCCAGATCCTCCTCGCCCTGGCACGATGCCAGCACCCCATATGGGGGCCCTCCTCCTCCTCCTGGGATGATACCAGTAGGCCCTGCACCTGGAATGAGGCCACCCATGGGACGCCACATGCCCGGGATGCTGGGCCCCCAGTGATGAGACCTCCTGCCTGGCCCACGATGGTGCCCACTGGGCCAGGAATGACTTGACCAGACAGATAAGGATGAAGGGAGGCTTCTTTATGTCAGTTTTATAGTAACTTGTTCTACTTCACCAGAAGAGCCTGGTGCTGTGACTCTGGGTGTTTTCTAACAGCACATCAAGGAAGACTTTCTTCCCCTTTCCTATTTAAAAAAAAAATAAAAATAAGAGTAGCTTTGGAGGAGAGAAGTGAGACAAAAGTACAGTTTTCATTTGTATTGTAAAATGTGAAAATAAATTTGTCAACTTTTAGTTAAAAAAAAAAAATTTAACTGCTTAAGATTTTATTCTGTCTACAAATCGAAGTGATAAGTACCAAAGATGCAAATTCAAACTTGATACTTCATTAGAGATTGACATCTCTGAGAAAGTTTTAAATTTCTAGTGCTTTCCAATATTTAATTAAAAAAAAATTGTTTTAGGTTTTGGCCATAGGGTACATGTGCACTCCAGAGAGAGAGAGAGAGAGAGAAAGAGTG